TTAGAAGTAATATATATTGTTAGAGTTCACTGACACTGAGATTAGAAGTAATATATACTGTTAGAGCTCACTGACACTGAGATTAGAAGTAATATATATTGATAGAGCTCACTGACACTGAGATTAGAAGTAATATATATTGTTAGAGCTCACTGACACTGAGATTAGAAGTAACATTGGCACTGAGATTAAATTCAAGATATGATTTTAGTACACATTAACACTGAAATTATATTAACTCGACAAGCTTTCAACTTCCTTTTGCTACAGAAACATTTCTCAACTTGAAATATTTTTTACAAGACTTGTAAAATTTTGAAATATAATTGATTTATAATTTGGTGTGATGAAAAGAGAAAAGGACAACATCTAATACACAACACAAAGGATGTGGCAAAGTGTGCTGATTTTGCTAATCTTCAGAGATTGACAAGAAGAATTGAGTTAACCTTTGGCATCAAAGCTGCATAAACTGTGACTTGCATTTGTAAGATAAACTCCTTCAGAATTGTGTGGAAAATAAATCTCAGTATTATTATTATTTTTTTGTACCAAGTGACGGAAAACTGTTAAGTTCAGCCTTGCCCATCATCAGGATTTGTTATAATGTTTTTGTAAGATGTATCCAAGTGGCATGTTGTGCTTGAATAAAAAAATTAATGGTTGTTACAAGCATATACTAATTTCTTTATAGATACTTCTCGTCAAAAGTGTTTACTTTTTCAGTACATTGATTCTGTTTTTTTTATCCATATGCATTCATTGTATCTATTGTAGGTGAAATATCAGAAGAAAAATAATTTTCATATTGTCATTTAATTCTATATAAAAAGACATACCATTTCTGGTTCTAAATAGTAAAATGTCCATATTTTTGAACTGCTACAATTTTTAAACACTGGATGTTATATTTCTTTTGTTATGTTCAGAAACCTTCCAAGTGATCACTTTGGAAGATCAGGGTATAGTGAACGTATGGGTGATGATGGAAATAGCTCAACCTCAACTTAGTGGCTCAGAGACAGATTTGGGTTTAGCACCAGGGGGAAAACTTAAGCTTGTAAAAGGAGCATCTATTCATTTACAAGATTTACCAGGATTGTAAGAAATTATGAATAAGTTTGAACTATTTTTATGTGTTTAAATTTTTTTAAGTATTAATTATGAAAATGAAACAAATGATGTTGTAAAATCAAAATATCATTCAAATGTTAGTGAACTAAATAGTCAAGCATATAAGATTGTAATAATTATCTTACCTCCACCATAACTTTTTGCTATTTGTTTTTAGCATTTGCAAATAGCTAAATATTTCTTTTGTTCTGTTTAGTTCTCTGCTTCCTTCCTCCATTATGATAATAATCAATTTGCATATTTTACATCTTATTCAAGTTTTCTAACACATCTTTTACCCTATGTATGAAGGATTCCAGACCAATCACAGTTAGTCTTCTAATACTTTCTCTGCTCTTTGTTGACTTTGTATATTATACCTTCTGTACCTTAACTGATCAAATTTCTTTTTGTACAATGTGGAATACACTTGATTTAGATTCCCCTCATTCTGACACTGTAATGCTTGTTTGGTGTTGATCAATCGTGAGTTTTTTTGTTTCTATTTCTTGTACATTTACCCTGTTTTATATTGTGCAAGTTCAAGTTTAAAGTTTTTTTCAGTGTTTGTCCTTCCTCTGATTCATTTTGGGATTTATTTGATTTAGAGTTAGAATGACTGGAATATGCTGATCATTATTTATGTTTGAGCCTAGAGTTTGTATTTTTTGCTTTTTTTCCATGTTTGCAAATATATATATATATATATTACTTCAAGCTGATATTTTAACTGTGATGTTAGAAAGCTTCTCAAAGTTTTTCACCTCACTGTTGTTTATAAGTTTAGAGGATCCCACTAATGGATTTATAATTGTTGCACAGATGACTGAAATATTATACAAATAAAACATTTTTCTTTTAGGTCACAGTAGTTTGTTGGTCTTACAATATTACCATACCTCCCTTTTGGGTGTTTCCTGTTCATTTAAATGCTCTTCATGACTGACTTTCATTTCTCTCACCAGTTCTTATCTACTCTAACTAGTACACAAGTACTTTAATCAGTTTTTTGTTCATAGTAATTTGTTTTTTGTTTGTTATTTGCTTTCATTTTTTTTCACCTTAAGATATATCTGAATTTTACAGCTTGTCATTGAAACTTCTTGTTCCATTTTATATCTTCACAAAACCCCAATATCTTTCATTATTTTTACCTTACTTCATCATTCTTTTGTTATGGTCCCGTTCTATTTGAGATGCCTAGGCTTGTGAAGCTTTATTGCAGAAAGTATCTTTGGCTTTCCTATATATTTCCCCATGTTTTTGTGATAATGTCTTTGTTGGTGATCTTAACTGCTTTTAGCCTAGCCTCATCTTCATGTCATCAATCATCTTTGTTTATCCTTTCTCACTCGTTTTTGTTTTTTGGCTGTAATTTTTTTATGTTTTGTCCTCCCAAAGCAGCCTGGGTTTGTTCTCCATATTTCCAGGGTCAAAGAGTTTTACCTGATATTCAGTCAGATTCCTCCTCTTCCTGCTCATTTGATATTTGCTTATACTTTGTTTAATGATAGAGAAGTTTACTTATTTGTCAGCTTTTCTTTAAAAGGGTTATTGGATTTCTGTTAGTTGATCAATTTTTCACCTTCGTATTTCTATTTATCAGTAATGTCGCCATCACTTTTGTTTTGTGTTTAGGATTGAGAATTTTCAGTCCAAGGATCTTTCATTTACCTTTATTACCACTCTGTATGTGTTAACAGGATTGTCTGATTCTTGGTTACCTACCTTCATAATATAAGCTTCAATTGTGTTTTTCAGTCAAGTGATTCATTCTGTCTCCTTTATAGTCATGTTTGACTACTGGTAGATAATGAACATTTTTGATTCTTTAGGTTAGATAGTGAATTTTTCTAAGTGCAGTAAGTAATTATAAATTCATCTATGTGTTCAAAAGTTTCCAGCGTAAGCCTTTACTGTTTTTCTCTCCTGCATTTACTTTTCTTGGAGTCTGTTGTACATACATTTTTTAGGTTATATCTACTGCATGTGGATTGTTCTCTCACTACTCGGAAATAATTGCAACAGCTACTCTGAGTTTGTTATCTGACAGTGGGATATAGCTTTGTGGTAGAATATATATCTTAGATAGTCTCATTGCTTCTTTTTTTTTTCTTTCTCAAAATCACTTGGTTAGTTCTGCTTTGTTGGCTTTGTGATCCTCTTATGCTTCCTTCATTTCTATTTTATATATTTTTCACAGACATCACCACCACCACCACTCTCAGTTTTGGGAGATCATGTCACACATGAAGTTATAGAAACTTGGGCTGTTCTAGATGCTTGTCCAAGTTTCTCGGAATTAAGCAGGTTCCTTGCTTGGTTGCTCACTCGACCAACAGTATCTTAGCTTCTTACATCAACAAACTGATGTTCAACAACCTCAACTGCTCTCTGCTAAGAAAATCATAGATCTTTTATCATAGGCACACACACACAGTGTATTCATTTCTTTATTGCCACATACCTTGGTGATAAATCTTCTTGATGACCTGCCATCTCAGGCGAACAAGATTGTACCTAAAAGTCTATTCACTCTTTAAATCTTCACTTACCTTTGTCATAAATTTGGATAACCCATGATAGATGCCTTTTCCATGACCTGAATTCACATTTTTGGCTTAGAGATCTCTTATTTCCAGATCCATCATCTTGTTGAGTGAATGCCTTGGCAAGGTTGAAAGCTTATCATGTGTGCATTGAAAGATAGATGGTAGCAAATATCAAAATCTGTTTGCAGCTCCTCTTTGGCGAGTGTAATCCTGGTATCTTTTGCTGAGTTAGTTATGGTTGTAGCTGTTTTGCCACTTCCAGCTGGAAAACATCCTCATCATCCCCAAACTTCAGTATTCAACCTTGACAATACTAAGTTAAACCTTCACATTTGTCTTTTATCCAGTCCATTACTAAAAAATAAACTGGATTCATGATCGACTTTTGCTGGAGGGTTACACTAATGATGCAATACTAATATGAATAGAGAGGTCTTTGATAATGGTGTTGTTATCGTAGAGTGTATTGTTTTTTTCCACCCACATCCTGTCAGAAGAGAGAAGTCTTTTTGGTTTGGGTGTCTTGGATTATAGACCTAGTCGAAGCTTCTTGTTTATTCTCTGTGGAGTACCTTCACAGAGTTTTATGAGCCTTTTTTATTGCTCTCTCTCTTCTTCTACTTAGTTTCCTCCTGAATAGATTGTAGTCTTGATCCTAACAAAATTGTTGACCATTTGCTCTGTACTGGAAAACTGATACTCATTTTGTCATTATTCAGAACAAAGTATTTTTCCAAGATTTTCCAGGTATCATCCGAGTTATTTACAGCATCTTTTGTCAGGTGGCTTGTGCTTCTTCTTGCTTACCTTTATTCTCACTAGGATGATGTTTTCATGTGTCAATATTTGTTTGCCTTATTTTTATTATTAGTTTTAAAAGACCATGTTTTACTTTATTACCCAGAAATAATGGCCATCTCCTTCTTTTATTTATTTATTCTCATCCTTATATCAGTGTGGAGAATTTAGCAAAAAGGTTATGATAGGAGTCAGTTATTTTATTTGAAATCAACATGGCATAAATATAAAGTTCAAATAAATAATTATCTGTATCATACAGTGATCATCCTCCTCCCCACAGAGAATCATGAAAACAGATATGACCAGGTAAGGTTTGATAGACTCAGGTAGAAGAATACTGTGAGGGTGATTATAACTAGCTTAGAGTCCTTCCAGTAGATGGTGCAAGAGGCATATTTGAACACATTGATGTAGCTGTGTCTCTTGAGGTTTCTCAATATACCATTACTTAAATGTAGCTGTCTTGCTGTTACTTAAAGGTAGTTGTATGTTTGGGGTTCTTCAAGTTTCATCATTACTTAAAGGTAGATGTATGTTTGGAGTTCTTCTAGTTACATCATTACTTAAAGGTAGATGTATGTTTGGGGTTCTTCTAGTTACATCATTACTTAAAGGTAGATGTATGTTTGGGTTCTTCTAGTGTCATCATTGCTTAAAGGTAGATGTATGTTTGGGGTTCTTCTAGTTACATCATTACTTAAAGGTAGACATATGTTTGGGTTCTTCTGGTTACATCATTACTTAAAGGTAGATGTATGTTTGGGTTCTTCTGGTTACATCATTACTTAAAGGTAGACATATGTTTGGGTTCTTCTAGTGTCATCATTGCTTAAAGGTAGATGTATGTTTGAGGTTCTTGTATTTATATCATTACTTGAAGTGAGATGTATTATGTTTGGGTTTTAGTTTCGTCATTACTTAAAGGCATGTATGTTTGGGGTTCTTCTGGGTACATCATTACTTAAAGGTAGATGTATGTTTTGGGGACTTTTGTCTGTGATTACTTAAAAAGGCTTATGACTACAGTTTTATGCATAAGATGTTATTCAGGTGTATGTGCATATTGGAATTTGTAGCTTAAGTTGTTAATTCGAAGCAGGTGTGTTTATGATTTGTGATCTGTACTGTTACTAAGAGGTAGATGTATCTTTGGAGAATTTTGGATAGTTTATATTCAGAGGTATATAATGATATATAGAAAATGTATTAGATACCTGATGTGAAACATACAAGGCTGAGATAATTATCTATAGCTATGTTTAGATAGGTTTTGAAACTTACTGTCTACTTAGATTAGTGTTTTATTTATGCTAATATACTTTAAATTCACTACACTATTTTAAGTGTGTTTGTGTTTATTAATTTCCTACATGTGAATCAGTACTCAGTATCTGCTGTTATTCCAGATCAAGCTCATTGAAGAATGGCATTCGTTGCTTTGATCTGCATGAGTTACCTTCTGATCCTAGCCATCTATTTGTAACTACAGATGCTGTAAGTAATTGTTCTGGAGAATGCTCAGTGAGAGACACCTTTCATATAAAGATAATTATCAAAGTTTCTAATGGATGAAGTTTTTTGATATGATAATGTGTGATATGGCTAGATATATTTCTACATAATGGTGTTAGTATAATAATATTAATTATGAATATTAAAAATAAAAAAAAGATATGTATGTTATACTTTCATTAGTAAGTCAGATGTCAAATTTATAAGATTACTACAGGAGAAAAACAATTTGTATCATATTTTGTTGTGTTCAGACTGTGAATCCAAGGATTCATTGTTAGTGGCCTGAAGTCACAAAATATGTTCCATACATTGGGGTCATTGTTCTACCATAAGAGTGATGGTCAAATCCCATTATTCTGTCAGACAATAGTAACCAGAAAACTTTGTGGTGGGTGTTGTTGATTAGTATATTCCATCTACCCTATCAGTAAAAAATTAGGGACATCTATGTGTAAGATAGATCTTTAGTAAGTACCTGAAATTAAATTAAAAAGTTTGGGTTAAATGAATGATTATGATACTGTACAGTTTTGTAAATATAACTAATTAGAATTTTGAGTAACATGCAATATTCCCGGGGCTTGGCATGCCCTGGTGTATTGGACACTTGAACTGTAATTAATACTTTATAGGATGAGAAAAACAACCAGCATTATTTTGTTGTTTTTCACAATTTCTAGTGTGTACTGGAGGGGTTTAGACATTTTGGAGATAAAGTTAGTTAGAAAAACTAACATAGATAACATAGAAAAACAATTTATTTCTGTCAACATTTCACAATTGTAGTTTCATCAGGGCTAGTAGTATAAACAGTTCTTGTACTACTAACCCTGATGAAGCCACAATGGTGAAAATAAAGTTTTTTTATTATTATCTGGAGAGTAAATGAGAGTTTTTCTATCTTTATTGTCACAGCATTAGATTTAGTTTGCTAATAGATCAGAAAAGTTGGATGGCAGCATACATCACCAAAAACCCAGGTAATTTTGATGCAAGTTCACTGTGTTGGAGTGTATTTCTCATAAAACAGAGTTTCATTCAAGTTTCTTACTAAAAGATGTGTCAAGACACTACACTAGCATGACCATCCCTTACAATGAAAAACCTTATAATGAATGTTGTGTTAATAAATTATCTTAGGGTATACTCCTTGTTTAGTTTTGAATTTTGCACAAAACTACTTTACATCTACACAAATCTACACTAGTCGGGGACCATCTACACTAACTGTCCCTAATTTAGAAGTGATAAACTAAAAGGAAAGCAAGTGATCAACACCAGCCACTGTGGTTACTCTTTTACCAATGAAAGTGGGATTGGCTGTCACATTATAGTACTTTCATGTCTGAAATGGCGAGCATGTACAGTGACAGAATTCAAATTCACAACCTTCAAGTTGTGAGTTGAGCACTTTCATTATCATTGGTGTTTGAATAATCAAAAAAGTGTTTGAACAAAATTTTATAAATATTTAAAAATCACTATTTATTTTATCAATTTTATAAACTACTGATGCAGTTACCATTTTTTATTCTATACAAAATATTTAGTAGTGTATGTGTTGATCATATTTTACAGGGATTTATTAATGCAGAAGAATTAAGCCAGTTATGTTTATCTTTCAAAATTTAGACAAAATCCAAGTTTAATATTACAGAAATGTACGAAATCCATGAAGAAATATTAAGGCATATGAGGTACTTAAAATCTTAATGAATGCTGTATGTCATACTATTTCAATAGCTGTAAAGTAAATGTAATAAATATCTTTTAGGGTATTGTGCTGCACTGTACTCGACATGGAAGTAAAGCCAACCCCAGATTTTATAGGCCTAGCTCAGGTAAAACCCTAATACTAAGAAGTAGGAAAGTTGATTAGATTTGTCAAAATAAATATGAAGCCAAATCTTCAGTGTGCTGCTATTATAATATTTAAATGAATTTTTCGTGACTAAATTATATGCTGAAACATTTTATTATTTCTTTCCATGTACATCCATACAAACTCCTCAGATTTTGTGTATGTGAAAGTGAATATTAAATAATTCTGAAATGAACATTGTATTATAAATGTTAAGTGCTGTTTATAACTAACTTCTGAGTAAAGCCAACTGTAAAGTGAATTAAAAGTAACTTCAAATGAAAGGTACTTTGACTTTCCTCCACTGTTAGTATCTTATGTAGTTACTGAGACTAAGCTTACATGCAAGTTAGCTAAATATATAAATAATTTGAAAGACTTAGCATTAAAGTTATGATTAATTTTCTTGCTAATATCATTTATAAATAAGTAAAAGAATTTTAAGATGATGCTAAGTTCATTCATCAGTTTGGAACCATACTTATATAATGTTATTTTGGTTATTAGCTATTTGCCAGTTGTTGTTACAACTAAGAAATGTATTTTTTTCATGTTGTTTATTTTGTTAATCCACGTAGACGTGCTGGCTGAAGTTCGATCTATTGATTTTTCACCACATGGATTGCCATATTTTCTAGTAAGTGAAATAAATTTGAATTATTAATTTTTTTAAAAACCTATGATTTTTTTTTTCTAGTAATAAAAGTTAGATCTCAAAAGTTTTCACCACATGGATTGCCATATTTTTAATAAGTTATACAAGTTTGATTTTTCATTACCTGAGTAGCTACATTTTCCAGTGAACGTTACATTGTTTTTGAAATTAATTAATAATTATTAATTTTTGTTCCTGGTCACTCATATTACAGACCTTGATTTACAAAACTTTTATTATTTTTTCCCCTTTTTTATGTGTTTCTTTTTTTTAAATTCATTAATATAAACATCTGATCAGAGAAACTACATATTTAGAAGAAAACTAAAGATCAACCTGATAATGAGTATAGCTAATTAACTAGACTTTTTTTTAGATTCTTATTTATGATTAGAATGCATTGTTTCATCAGTTGGGTAGCCTTGCTGTTAATAAAAGTTTTGACCATAAATCCAATAATATCTCAAGTGGTTTGGCAAGTTTGGGAGATTTAAGTTTGTCCTAAATACATATATTAAGCTAACAGTGTAAAACATTCTCTATAATGAGAGTATAATAATAAAAGTTAAAAATAATCAAATTAGATATATTAAACATTTTAACCAATACGTGTTAAATGCACACTTTAATTTTATTTATATGAATACATAATTGTTTTTGATTAGGTTGGATGCAGTGATGGTAGTGTGAGATTATATAACATGAAATCAGGTATGTTCATTTCATGTTTCTTATAGAGGTTATTGATATAATAAATTAACTGGCTATCTAAATTTCATGGTTATTGTTAATATCTAATAATTTTGTTAGGTTTAGTCACTGAGCAGCCTCATAGGAATTGAGTGGAAATAAAACACATTGTATATAAAACCTTAACTCGTGAAGGCTTGATTCCTTTCAGAGATAACAAATGTCATCAAACATCACAATAAGATGAGGAATATGTTCAAACAATTCATGTTCTGATTGATTAGTTAAAAGTGAAATGTTTACAAGTGTCTTCTTGTAATGTTCAGTCACACACATTAAAAAAAAAATTAAGCAAGTAAATCGGAAGACACTTGTGATATGTTTCCTTGTAATCTGAACAGTGACCCCAAAGTAAACATAGTGTATCAAACCCTCTCACACTTACACTGAATTATTTTGGTGAAGAAAAAATAAATAGTAGGTTGTGATTTATCACTATTAACATAAGCAGTATTATGCAGAAAACAAAACTCTCTTAATCTTTACTGTTTAAAATGTTTTTGTAATGGAAGAAATGCCTGAAGTTTATTGATAATTAAAACATTTTACAACATCTGTGACATTCTGATATTGTTAGATTAAAAATGACTAATTTTAGAAGTTCAAATGGTTTCTTTTCAAATTTTGTATCTAGTGTTTGAATATTGCCACAGCATTTCATCTAATATATACTGGCTATTTCAGCACCTGCCTTAAAAAACAGACAGAAAGAAAAGATGATAATGGGATTATATTTTGTCATGTGTCTCTAAGCAAAAACTTTTTTACAAAAATGTAATCTTGATTATTTGGTCTTCACAACAACAAAATTGCCCACAGTAGTAGAGAGTGTGCCTGGACTGTGAATCTGAGGATTTAAGGTTCATAACCTGTTGCTGCTAAAATGCACTCTGCACTTTGGGGCCATGGTTGCACCGTAAGAATGATAGTCAATTTTCACTATTCAGTCAGACAAAAAGTAACTCGGGAATTGGGGTGTGGATGCAGTTGACCAGCAGCCTTCCTTCTTGTCTCTCAGTTCAAAATCTGTAATGGCTGTGTGAAAGTAGTCCTTTGTGTAGCTAGTGCACAAAGTTTGAAACAAGAAAAATTTACATTACATTTGATCAGTATGTCCACCATCATTATCATTGCATGCGTGACATAACAGTCCTTTTAACCTGATTACTACCAGCTACTAACTTTCTGCGTAGTCAATGCAAGTCTTGCTATATTTCATTCCAACAATAAAACTAGTGGATAAATTGTTTGAAACTTCATAAGAACTTTCATAAATGCACATAGTTGAAGAATCATAAAGCTTGTTACTTTTAATAAATTTAGTTTTTTTGCATTATGATCTTTAATATCTTGGAAAATTACATTAGGAAATGGTATTTATAAGAATTGATTACAATATTTATATTTGTTTCAGATTTTAACTTACTTTTTATGTTTTAGTACATTATTTTAAAATCTCAGAAAACTGTTTATCACCCATAAAATGTAAATTTTGTCTATTTTAAATTTTTGATAATAATGTACTCTTCAAAAATAACATTTTGAAGCAAACCTAAACAATAAACTAAATAAGTATTTTTTTATTTTTAACTAGGATTTCATGTTTGTATACGTACATAAACAAAAATTTAATTTTGTTTCTTAAATGTATTTTTATTTCAAGTTTATGTTTCATTGGAACCATACTTTTGTTTATTGTGCCAAAAAACTATGAGGTTAGCAGCATGAACTTTGTACATTTGCTGTAAACTATCACTGTCATTGGGGGTCTCTCTTGTTCAGTCCAGCACAGGCATATTTGAACATTACTGTAGATATGATAGTAAGAAAACTTTTTGGTACTTGAATATCATTTCTATGGACATTCAAAGGAGTTTATGTGTCTTTGTATGTTGTTTCACTATATAGACAAAACTAATTGTTACTACTAGTGAATGTATGTAATAGTTTACAGTACGGCTGGTTTAAATAACACTGCCTGACCCTAGTTACATGATACATCCTGTTACAAGTGATTACCAAAGGATACAGACATCATAAATTACAAAGAAAATTCCTTTACAGCACTTAAAAGATTAGTCCTGTTCATATTCTTCTCATTATAGGCAAGATTTGTATTGGAATTCGAAAATTAAGCTCTTCAGTGTATTGACTCCCCAACTGTAAGAATGTCACAGCTTCCCTTGTATTATTGAGAAAATGTGTTTAGTCTGTTTTACAACAAACATATGGGTTTTATTGTTGTCACTTGTACACTGAGTTTTAAACCATTTGCAAAATATCAGAATTAGCTTTTTATATATCAGTTAGACTGTTTTAATTATAAAGCAACAACAACAGAAGTGTGAGTCTTACTACAAAGTAAAGATAGTAAAAAGGAAAAATATAAAATTCTTATGTAGTACTAGTAGTACATACAAATCACACAAGTTTATCATTCTAAATACTGAATCATATTTTTATTATGAACTAAATATAAAATTATGCTTAATTATAGAACTTAAAACTACTAATTTATATACAAAAGAATATAAAAATCACAAACTCTATCAGTTCAAAGTGCTAAGACTAATTCATGTAAAGACCATGCAATTGCCACTTCATAGATCTTAACCCTAACATTCATACATCAACTTCTCTCCTAAAAATATATCTATTTTGAGGTAATTTTTCAATATAATGATTAATATAAATAGATATACAATGTAGTGTAGTTTAAGCTACTATAGAAAAATAATTAAAGTCGCATATATCTTGTGCAGTTTTTCTAGAAGCAAATTTTCTAAGGCTTATAAAAAAAAAGTACTATTGACCACTACTAAATACAACCTCTACATAAAATGGCACTTACTATAATAAGCACCACCTATGTTCATATTGTAAAGTCTAGAGAACAAAACTTTTTCGTCATGTGCTTTGCTTACCATCCTATGATTTGTCAAACGTGAAATACAGCAGTTGGAATAACATGGTACTGAAATTGACACCTTTGACTAGAATTGGCTAAAAGTTTTACAAGTGAGGTTTAACACGCCCAGATGCTGTTTTATAAAGAAAACAGACTAGAAAAAGGTTTAGATACCGATCATAGATGGCAGGACCAGTGCTGAAGTGCAAGGATGATTTTTTTTTTCTCAGAGGGTGCTTATTTATAGTCTCAAACGTATTTTGGGAATTTTTTATTAAAGTTCTTTTCAAACTTCATTAAATAATACAATTTAGTACAAATAATTGAATGTTATGCTACTATTTACAAAAATAAAATCTGAAATCCAATAAAAGATTAGTTCATGTTAATTTTTTCAATTCACAAATGTGATTTTGCACTCACGACAAGACAAAATGGCCCCAGTAGGTAAGGAATTAAAAGAATAAACATCACATGGGATACAATAAAATTAGTATCCTTAATATTAATTATTGGAAGGGTTTGCTGTGGTCCATTATATACTTTAACCTCAAGTTACTGACTTGTCTTTATACTGTTCACTACTAGTGAGGTCGTATTGCATCATATAGTGTCATGTTCTTGTCTGTTGTAACATTGTGTGTATAAAAACTGACCAAAAAATTAGGTGAAATCACCCATTTTTATGTAAAATACAAAAGGAACCACTTTTGAGAGTAATGTGTTATTAGAGTTCTTGCAACCAACAAAGTCATGAACCCCCAATAGTTTTAAAAATATGTTTTCAATCCAGATGGGTTCATCATTAGTTCTAGGGGATAATGACACTTCGTATAAGACAGTTTTCAGAGCTTTCATTATAATGCAAGGTATTTTGTATCCATTCCAGACAAACCACTGATCTCTTGGCCAAATGCAACTAATGGAGAGCCCATAGTGTGTGTTCAATGGTCAGCAAGCCATCCATCAATGTTTTACGTTTTGGATATTTCTTCTCGGGTTCATGTATGGAATCTTGTTGAAAATCTATCTTCACCATTACATTCTAGTCATTTTGGTAATGGCATGTAAGTATTGGAATGGTTGATAGCTAGCTTATTGTGATATTTTTTCTCATGGAATAAAAGTTGTCATACTATTCATTATGTAAGTAAACATACAAGTAAGTGTGATAATAAAACATACTAATAATTTTTCAATGTTGCAGGAAGTCTGTCATGGCCTGGTGGTTAAGATACTCGAATCACAATCTGAGGGTAACAGGTTCAAATCACTGTCACTGATTCTCGCCCTTTTAGCTGTGGGGGCATTATAATGTGATGGACAATCCTACTATTTCTTGATAAATGAGTAGCCCAACTGTTGGTAGTGGGGTGATGGTTGACTAGCAGCTTTCCTTCTAGTCTGTGCCCGGCATGGCCAGGTGGATAAGGCGCTCGACTCACAATCTGAGGGTC